AAAGAAAGAAAGAAAGAAAGAAAGAAAGAAAGAAAGAAAGAAAGAAAAGTGTTTAATATCATGAGTCAAAACTTAGTTTTACCTTTGTAAAACTGACCATAAGTCTGTGTGGCTGGCTCTGTAAAAGCACACTTAAATAATTTCATACGCTTTAAAGTAGCCATTCAAAATTATTTTAAAATACACTGAAAAAATATCATTGGGATTTCTTGCTTTCAGTGTACTTTAAGAAAATTGGACAAAGCGAACATGTTAACAAAAGCTTCTACGGAAAGGCAGTCATTTCCTGTCTGTTTGCTAGAGACTGATCTGTATTGTTTGCCACTTCCACTTCCAGTAATGGGAATGAACACTTGACCAATATCTTGCCAGTTTGTAGTACTTGGTTGCTGAAAACACATCTGCCCCATTGTCTTCCACTGGGACTTTTGTGCTGCGGGAGTTTCGTTTTTAGAAAAGATAAAAGTCCTTAAAGGAGAAAACTATTAGAACTCATGATCATTTCTTTATGCTGGAGTTTCATGTTCGCTTTCCGATTACGAGATGTATTGCCTTTTGCTGTTGATCCTCTTATTTTGTAAGTTCTGGATGGGATACCAGCAGTAGAAACAAATGAATACATGTCTCCTCCTACCCGTTGTTTAATGCTCTTCTCCTTCTCCTTCCTCTTAGGCAGCAAGGCGAAAAGTCAAGATAACGGTGAGTTTGCATGTTTTGAAAAATATATACCATTTTACTCTGAAGAAATGTGAAGTTATACAAATATTTATTGCTCTAGATCTGCATATATGAGACAAGTATTTGGCCCAGGTGAAAATTTAAAAGTCACAATATGTTTAAAGTATAAACAGAATGTTCTTTATTCCCATCTTCAGCTTCTACAGTGGTTATGCTATGGGCTAAGTTATTCCATTATAGTCAACTCTACAATTCCCTTATGGCACCTTTAAAGTCTATCAAATTTATCAGAGTAGAAGCATTCTGAACCACATTCTTTTCATAATAATCATGGAATATTCTGAAATCATATTACTATATGAGTGTGTACTGTAGAAGTTATTCCTCTTTTATTTCAGTAGGCATAATATTCCATGAACTCAAATAAGCGGATTGCAATTTGCTAAGGTTCGATCCATAAAGTATTGATTAGATTTTAAGGCACATAAGAGTGTTAGTTGTTCTTCTAATATAGAAATCACAGTAGGTATTGAATGAGTTTCCTCATAGACTCAAACCATCATTATAATTATCAACTTTAATCATAATCAATACTAAATCTTACATTCTTCACTGTATACCTGCTTTGAATTATCTAGAATAGCTTAAAGGTAGGTCTCCTATTTTTCAAAAGTGTCAATAGCTGTTGTGCTTTCATTGGCAATTCAGGTTGAAACCCTAATACAGGGGAAGGAAGAAATCTCTTCTTTCTCTCTGTGAAAGAGAGACTGAGACAAAAATTAACAGTGGATGTTACAAAGTCACTGATTTTCATTGCTCTTCAAAACAAAAGAGAATTTTCAGAAAGCATTTGTCATTCCTGGAATATTACATGGAGGTTTGCTCCTTTTAGAATATGGTTGGTCCAAATGTTCGCTCACTTTTGGCACCCAGTGGGGATCCCTGGAGTTATCATTCATGTTCAGATTCGCCATCATCACCAATGTCATTAACTGCTTAAAGAAGTTTCTTAAGACAGGATTGGACAAGTCATCACATTAAGTTCAAACCATAACTTTAACACCACAAACCCTATTCAGAGGATACCTTCTTAAGAACTGTGGTCCTATTTTGGAAGTGAAGAACAAGTAGCAATTTTTCCTATGTTGTAGAAATTTGAAAAAGTCCCTTGTATTCATGTAGGAATAGATCGTACCAGATTATGTGAGGCAAGACTACCCAAACTTTTTGAATTTTGAAGTATTCAAAAGAGCCTCATTGCTGAAAGAATATAGGTTAATTATTGGAGGGGAGAGATAGACACTAATTTAGTTATTATGTGTGGAAATTGCAATATTATAAACTTTGACAAATATTTTACTAAGTGGTGGTTTTGCTCAATCATTGTTTGTTGACAAGCCATAACAGCCAGAAGGGTTATAAACTACAGTTGTTCAATTCACACAGCATACCAAGTTATAATGGGGTTTATAGTTTTTTGTTATAAGTGTGATGTGTTGATGTCTGTTGTCTCCTCTTTTTTATGTATTAGCTGTGACATTCAGTATGAGGTCTGATTTAAGGATTTAATGTTGCTAGAAGAAGTAAAGGCAGCTATGTATAGGAGTATCTTTCTTTGTTAACTGGAAAGTGAGAGCTGTGTATGCCAGGAAAAATATACATGTAATTAGGCTTAGATAACTTAGAACTATGCTGCCTTCGGTCTGACCTAAGCATAGCACATAAAATTATCCATTACAATGTTCTACCATCAATAACTACTTCAGCTTCAACCTCAACAATACACAAGGACACAATAGATACAAACTCAGGGTAAACTGCATAAAACTCGATTGCAGGAATTACGATTTCAGCAACAGAGTGGTCAATGCCTGGAATACTCTACCTGATTCGGTGGTTTCTTCCACTAACCCCAAACACTTCAACCTCAGACTGTTTACTATTGACCTCACCCCTTTCCTAAGAGGTCTGTAAGGGGCGTGCATCAGCGCACCAATGTGCCTACTGTCCCTTTCTTAATGTTCCCTTTTATTCATATCTATTTCATGTATTAATAATCATGTTTATACATATATATTATCAAATGCATGCTTGGCAAAATAAATAAATAAAATGTTTACTTAAGTGTGTGTGGTAAACAAGAAGAGAAAGAGCTAAAGATGTAATGAGTGAATGTGTGAACTCAATAGAAAAAGGAGTGACCAGTTTGAAAGAAATAGGGCATAGTGGTTTGGTAAAATAGTAGGAATGAATGAGGAATTTATATAAAGGAAGAATAAATGGGCTTGAGAGGAAAAGCAATAAAGGTTTGTTAGATGGAATTAATGAGATCCTAAAAAGAGTGAGGTGGCTTTAAAAAAAAGAAAGGGAGAAAGAGGGGGGACACAGAGATGAGAGAGAGTCAGAGAGAGGGAGAGAAAGAGAGAGGAAAGGAGAGAGGAGAGAAGAGAGAGACAGAGAGATAAAGAAAAAGATAAAGGTAAAGGAAGGGGGAGATAAAGAGGAAGAGAGAGAGGGAGGGAGAAAAAGTCAGGCAATATATCAATTAGTGCCTAGCTATGATTGAATCAAGAATGTTTTGGAACAGAAGAAAAAATATAAGAAGTGTAATGAATCTTGAACCACAAATTAGGTTTTCTCTTCCTTTTTCATATCTTCTGCTTCCAATTTCAATAAATAATAGTCATATTTCATTATAATCTTCCATAACTAATATAGCTTTGTAGGCAATTTATTCATATGTTGCTAAGATCACTTCTGAAAGCCATTAAGTAGCTGGAGCCTTATGGTTTGCTTTCAGTGTTGAGAAAATAACATTTTTATATAACTATAGTATAAGACACAGGGAATCCATTTTCTTTGTCCAGAAGTCAATTTGCAGTTGATAGAAATAATAGAAACTTCTAAGGATATTCCCACAGAGGAATTAATCTATGTAATAACTTTCTCCTTGAAAGGAACAATTATAGGGTATTGAGCAAAAACAAGTTTAAATGAAACGTTAATCTCATTATATCTACAATTGCATGAAGATTTTCTCAGGCTTTTTCTATTTAAGTGTAACGTGTCTAAAATATATATTTTTGTTGAATAAGACAAAAGATCTACTGAAATGTTTGGCTTTAATACCTCTTCCTATTGTTTGGGCAAAATAGGAAATCTCCAATTCTTTATTCCATTCAAACATTAAAGCTTGCATATCAAATTAATTAATAACTAACTTAAATTTATGATGCACAATTTCAGGTTGTACGAATCACATTAATAATTGCTTGTGGTACGTGAATGTTTTGGGGGCTAAAAATGTCACAGATCAAAATTGGGATGTCAGTAGATGTTTTTATTGTCAGTACTGACAAAGTAATACATACTAGGCAAATTGTATTTGTGCTTTAAAATAGAAAAGGATAAAAATGTACCTTTGATAAATTAGAATATATGTACTTAGTGCTTTCAAGTCTATGTTGATTACTGGCAATTGCCTGGACAAATCACTGCAGTTTTTCTAGCAAGATTTTGAAAGCGCCAGTGCAGAGGGAGAGTGATTAGCCCAAAGTCACCCAGCTGTCTTGGGGTCTAAGATGGAACTAGAATGCATGGCTTCCCAGTTTATAACCTGCGGCCTTAACCATTATACCAAACTGGCTTTCTTTCCATATAAAAGCATTCTTTTAAAGATCTGGATGACCTTTTTAACGTCTCTTTTTAATGAACAGCATGATTACAGGTTTCACATATACATACAAATATGACCATGGTTACATCTTCAATTTTTATATCCAATTCCTTATCTTAACAGTTCTTTTATACATTTTCTGTTTTATTGTATTATACCAAATATTTATCTCATTATTTAATTCATTTATGATAACTTCATAATCATTATACTTTAGTATTTTTAACTGTCACATTTGTATATTTCATCTTAAATTCTAATTAAAAAAAAACATTCTTCTATAAATTGGTTTCCCCCCTGAAATCTCAATATAAGTGTGCCACCTCTAAGTTATAAATTCATTTATTTTCACCCCTTTTAAATCTTGTTAAAACATTTAACATTATTACCTAAAACATTAAACTTAATAATCCCTTTAAAACTACATAGCATATATAAATCAGATTCTGCATGATTTTTCTCCCTTTAAAATTCATTAAATCCCCCCCCCCAAAAAAGGACATATTAATCTACTCATTCAAACAGTAAAACAATCCTAAGCCCTAAAGTTAATTCCATTTCATCTCTCCTCCTATATCAGAGATGTTAAAATATGGAAAACTGAATAAAACTTGTTTAAAAAAAAAGATCTGGATGACCTTATAGGTTTAGGAGAAAATGGATCAAAGAACAATTTCCTAGAAATAAGATACCATAATCTTTGAATCAATATAAAAGGAATATATCTTCCCATTTTTTGACACTTTTGCCGGTCTTGGGAGCACTGAATATTTCCCTAAATATAGGGAAATGTCCCATTGGGTAAATGATCCAAAATCATTTTTCAACTCTGCTAGTTGGTAAAAATGACACAATGGCAGCCTTGTTTCAAAATATTCAGCAAGACATGTTCGAAATTCTCCATAAAAGTGTTTTGGTTCTGTGTTTCTCATATTGTGTTCCAGAGACCACAAGATTCCATGAGAATTTGATGGAATTCCATGAGACCCTAAGAGCAAACCCCCCCCCGCCCCCCAAAAAGGGAAAATAAAATTTTAAAAGTTTATTTGAACACATTCATTTTTCTTTTATTAAGGTTTTTAAACTCGATCTGGGGTTCAGAGAATATTGCTTTATCTGTGTAGTGGGGAGTTACCCAACATGTTCTATAGCCTGAAAAAGTATGAAAACTTGTATTTTAGTTATTGGATTCATTGACACCTAGCACTTACATGTTGCACATGTTGCTCTTTTATAATTAATAAGATCATTCCAACCCATAATCCAAACCAGGAAAAAAACTGAGTTGTGTTAAGTTAACGAAGACCACAGATTTCCTGACTTCAACTGGGGGTAAGCTGGAGTG